CTTGCTGGAATTTTGCAAAACGCGGAGTAAAACCAAACTCACTCACTCACATTGAATTTAAACGTCTTGCAATAAGTTTCAAGTGAAGAATTGAGACATTTATCCCGGTCCATTGAAACGGTGAATGTTTAACAAGCCCTTGTGTTAAATGTAAATGAGTCATACAAGCCTAAATCATCTCTAACGAACTTTACACGGCTTATTTACAATCGTAAACAGGAGAAGACGGCGCTCCGGTTACCGGGACACATATTATCTGTGGAAGGAATGTTTTTCCGACACAAACGACGTGTTAATCTGGGCCGACATGACCCCAGGGTCATTTAAAGACGCGCTACCGTGTCACGTGACACCTGGGTCTTTTCTTGGCCCTGTGTCTTGTCACATGACCTCTGGGTCATCTTCAGCCGCCCCGCCGTGTCAGTGACAGGAAGCGGGAGACTTTAGTCTCGTGTTACGCCCTTGACATTCATGAGATATGTAGGTTTTGTCTACCTACGCCCTGTGACGTCAGAAGTTACCACATCCCAATGCTTACAAAAGAATTACGAAAGTTTGACGTACAATGTGATATTTGGTTATATTCATGCTTGATGAATCAGTTATCTGGTTTTAAAAAACCCTTGATATTTCAAAACCCGACAATGAAGACATACCTTATAAGATTATGAATACCATAGACTCACTGCCTTTAACTTAAGCATCTATTCTTTCGTCAATATTGTGTAACATAGATTCTCGACAAATCTACACACTTTTGCTGTATAAATGTTATCCCGTGGCAATATATGTATAATTATATCTTCGAGTTTTTGTTTGTTTGTTTGTTGTTCATCACCGCACTCAATAAATTCACCTGAATTGCAATAAAATAAAATAAATTTATTTGACAGAATGGCAGATTCAAATAGGATGTTGTTTTACCGCAGTAAATTTGTGTTACTAGTTTTTTTTGGTTTTTTTTGTTTAACGCCACACTCAGCAATATTCCAGCTATATGACGACGGTCTGTAAATAATCAAGTCAGGACCAGACAATCCAGTGATTAATTTCATGAGCATCGATCCATGTAATTGGGATCGATGACATGCATCAACCAAGTCAGCGAGCCTGATCACCTGAACCCGTCAGTCGCCTTTTACGACAAGCATGGGACGGCTATTTTTAGCGTCATTTATTTTTATTTCGGCTTAAAACCAAGCTATTGTAGCGAATGGGTCAGGGTATTGATATAAAAGAATTGAAATATAATACCCTGGATAATCGAAGATGATCTTTGACGGAATCGTCATAATTCTAATCCACTAAACATAGGCCTGGTTGTGTATTCTTTCTGCAGTCGAGATTTGTAGTTTTATATAAGTCGTAGATTTCATTAGCAAAATTACGAACCATTCATGACAGACCGTACATTTCCTAAAACGCCATTGCACCCATCTTTGTCGTTAAATCAATGATTATATGCTTTACGCACCCTGCATTTACTAATGGTTAATCACGGCAGGGGCATCGGAAAAGGCTGAGGCGTTATATCCATGAAGCGGTTCTTCAGCTGGAGAATCGAACACTTGAACCACACGGCTACCCAACGCGTCCCAGTTACTGTACGGTAGATCTTGTGAAGTTTCACGGTTTCGATATCTACTCGAGTGTTGGATTTGAGGCTTGAGACGATTATGTCACTTATAGCAAGTCGTGGCTCCTTAGGCGGTGAGCGAATGCTGTAAGCATTCTGCTATATTCCAGCTCCACCGATAAACTGGGTCAGGCAAGCCAGTGGTCGACAGCATGAGCAATAATCCACGCCATCTTGGCACGATGACGCACAAGAAGCCAGGTCTAAAGCACCGGGAACCGAGAAGCTATTTCCTCCATGGGGACTGCAGTTTAAATGTGAGATGAAAGCCGAGTTGGTAAATCGAATAAATCGATATCGGATGTGTAAGCATGCACAGTGAGAAGATACAACTGCATGTCGATTATGGAGCACTTCAAAAGTACGAAATCTAATAATTAATAAATTATGACCAAAAAGACTCATCATGTCAACATTTTCATAATTAATCTTTTTGAGTGTTTTGGTTGTGTCTCAAAACTCAACGTTTGTTATCTACATTGATCATTTGAACAGACCCCTAAAGGGAGGGCACTCTGTTGATTGGGTCGTAGAAAAAGTACACGCCTAATTTGATGGATGATAGTTTATTACTAAAGACGGTAAAGGTGATTGAAAGGCTCGAACGGAGGTTCCGGCCCTAGTAATTAATATATCCGTATCTACATGAATAAGTTAACAGTCTAAGGAAACGTTTCCAGGCCTGGTCAATTCCAGTGAACAGTATACAAGCACGTTAAAAAACCCTTTCTGAACACAAATCCAAGATGATTAGAGGGGATACGCCGAGTGTTCGCTGAATATATTAAAGGAGATAGAATTTCGGCGCACTTTCTAAACATATTAAGACAATTAGGTATTATTTATTAGGGATAAATGAAGTCTAGTACTGAAAACAAAGAAAGGAATTGAAATAGTTTGCACTATTACAATATATACATATATGGACGTTTGGACAGCGTTTCAATGTGGACATGTAAACCAACTAAACTGTGAATAAAGACATGAACAAACTTGGGATAATCTACCCAACGTTTGAACTTAACTGCTTCTTTTGTTTCGGAAAATATGTTCATAAAAGCTTGCATTTGTGTTTTTGTCAGGAGGCATACTCAAGTTTCAGTTCAAACCACCAACCAAGTTGATTGCCGATCATGACGCTTTGGGCAAACCAAAAATTACATGCACTTGATAGTTTGATTAGAATAAGATCTTTAAACATGTATTATAGTTTAATATTTATCAACAAACAACACTTATTCAAGGTCAATCCAACAACCGAGAGTTAATCGTTTCATGATGTCGGTGGTCGTTTTTAAGCACATATCGCGTGAATGAGGTCAAAAATGGATAGTCACCCTCATCATCATGAAGGCATGGTCCCTTATACTTTGGGAATGTCCTCTTTCTGCTAGTAGGTTAGACACTCTGAGAAATACATTTGTAGGGTGATCATAACTCATATTTATACATAACTACTGTTACGCACTATTTACTTTCAGATTTGATCAGGCCTATCATCCTTTCGCGCGGGTCTCTTTTGACCCTTAATTACCATTAGCATGCATACATAATTATATGTTACAAATATAATATTATAGGCATACGTTATATTTGAGGTATGTTGAAACTTTGTGCCCTGTCCCATTCTTGAATATTGACTCTAACATGGTTAAAGGGGAATAACTCTGAGATAGTTGCAGCGCACAGTGACCACGAATTTTGCATGTCGACAGGCAGGAAATAATTCCGCAGGGACAAGTTAATATCTCTGGGTTTTTTAAGGTTTTGAACTATATTTCTATCTATCTTTAGTATCAATGTATATAAGAAATGTGTTACAAAATATACCTAGCATTGCCATTATTGGAAAAATGGAAACCGACCTGTTTCTCAGACATTCCACTCAGAACATCCATTCTGCTCTTTGCAGTTACGGAAACGGACGAGGTTTACCGATTGCAAAACTGATCCCGGAATTACCCGAATGGGCACGAATTTTTCCAACTTTCGCTTTCGATTTGACGAGTCACGTGAAATTCTATCAAATCAAAAGCGAAAATAAGATTCCGAGAGAGGGCCAAACAGATATCAAATCTTGTTATGCGAACTTTGTCTGGAAGATTTTGGATGAATGTGGTAAGAGTAATGGCTTACAGACTGTTTTACTGAATCTACAAAGTAATGCACGTCTGTAAATGTAAATTGTTTGATAGGCATTACTTAGAAGTTGACGGATGACAAGATAGACACAGTTTTATGGATAACAACTTCGTTTCGGTATAGATCCTTATACCGTTGTCAAGCCGTTTATACCGTTTCATCCCACCCGCCTACTATGAACTCATCAAACAATAATCACTTATCCTGTTTATTAGCTTCATGTCCCTATTGGCTTCCACCTATGTGTTTTCTGTCCATCGTGTTGTGACAGCAGCATCCCTTTGTTGTCAACACCTACCAATGTTATCCCACTCATGTTTGCTATTGTTGTTACTGTTAATCTTCTACTGTTAATCCTCCACCTACTATATACACTATTATTGTATATTCTGCACTATGTCCCTCATTCAGTCTTGCTTGACAACGGTATAAGGATCTATACCGAAACGTCGCTTTTCACAGTATTAAAGAAGTTGTTATCCATAAAATTGTGTCTATCTTCTCTTTAAATGTAAAGTTTCATATATATCTTATGTTGACCAGAAAGTAGTACGAAGATATACACGTACCAGAAAGCCAACACATTTCTTCGCCATTCTTTTAAACAGGAAGTAAGTAATCAGCTTGGCAATATCTAAAGTGTGTAGAAAGATGATAGTTGTGAAAAAATATACCTTAATTAACAGATTATGGATGGGTTGGACGGTTCCATATTAAAATTTTATTTTTATCAATAATTAATTTTAAAAAAGTTTTTTCTGTTATATGTTTTTGTTATATCATTAACTCAAATCTTGATCATAATAAGATCATTTTCAGCTTGTCTGAAAGTGTAAGTAAACTAATGCCGTTGATGTGGTCCAGTGCTGCAATATTCACTGCGCATTTACGTCCATTTGATGTCCCAGGATCTGCTGATTGTGTTCAAGTCCCAGATTAGTCCTGATTATGAGTCTTAGTTTGTCAGCATCATACTCGTGGTGGTTGCTTTCAACAAAGTGGGCATTCTTCCCACAATCACTTGAGACTCTGATAGTCCTGAAAAATTGTCTTAAAGTGTCATTAAGTCAAAGTCCCCCTCTCCAATCTTTACAACATGACCACAGTTACCATATTGTTATTTGTAAAATGTCAACTTGTTCACTTCTGTCCCCTGCGTGTGTACCTCCTGTAACCATGGTAACACTTTTTGTGACTTCCCAGACTGGAACCTGAGGAGGCTTGTGAAAAGTGGACAAAGTATTTGTGGTCTAAGGATTATGAAAAAGGTATATTATGCAGTTTACTCAATGAATCATTATGCAATTTAAATCATCTTTTGCATGAGGTTTGGAACTCTGTTTCATGATGCAGATGCTCCTACCTAGACATAAACATGCTATTGAGCAGGATCAGCAGTCTCCACAGTGGCTCCAGGAATGAGCGGAGATAAAACAAGAAAGAGGGCTTAGAAATTGTTTTCGGGACATAAGACCTAATAGACAGCTACGGAATTATTTAAAAATACATTTAGAATTAAGAATGAACAGTATTTCAGTGCACAATAATTATATATTAGCAGCTAGTAAGAGCTAAACTTTTCTGGAGAAAATTTAAACAATGTAATTCAAAGGGACCACTAATTTTAGTGCGTAATAACCGTAGTGATAGCATATATACAGCATTTATCATATAATGGGTAGGTTTCTCGGCAGGATAAAGCCAACAGATAAAAACGATATCCGTTGGGGTCAAATGCGGATAGAGATGCAAATATCAAAGGTCAAGTAGGGACTACTTTCACTGTTTATTAACAAACATGGCGTCACCCTCATCATTCGGCGATCGAATCAGAATTAACCATCGGGAATCTGGATAAACTACAGGGATAATTGCTATCATTATCAAAAGAACAGTCTAATAAACTGAAAATCAATGTCTAACTGTAATGTAGCCAAGGCATTTTATAAGTTTTGGCAAAGTGGGAGATATAAATTCCGCGAACAATTTTGCGAGGGCACATCTGTGCTTGTAGACCTCTGCGGCTTGAAACGTCTCCTCAAATGCAAATAGTTGGATTTGGCCGAAATATGTTTGAATTGTTACCTTGTTTCGTTTTGTCGCTTTGTGTACATCTGACTACACTTCTTAACTATGAGAGGACAGACCAATGTCAACATCGTCTGACCATGGCCGTGACGTCTCATAGACTAGGGTTAGAGTAGCTTCCCTTTGACAAAGGGCAGTTACTCTAGCGGACAGACCGATGGATTGCCGCGAAAGGCAATTAAAAACAATAGTTGTTTTGCGTATATGTTGCTTCGCCACTGTATAAGAAACAGATTTCAGTTGGAACTATATTGGCTACTGTCACTGTCCGACTGACACATCACTTACCCTGTGACGTAATAAATATTAATGCGCGCATTCCAGGAAAACTCGCAATGTTTCGGTAATGTTTGTGAAAGAGGGAAAGCGATTTTGAAGCACAGAATTAAAGAATGACATTATATGATAAAGAGGTTATCACGCTTGTATGTTTGGGGATGGTAAATATCCTGTATTAGGAATAAACACTATGTATTTAGCTCGCCAAGGCTCGCTAAATACAATGTTTATTCCTAATGCAGGAAGTTCATTATAAGCATGTTTGTTATAAACATAGTTTACTGTATGTCTGGTTGTATTTCACAGTCAATATCTAGCCAGCAGTGGGCGGATCACTTAATATCACCCTCTTGTTGAACCAGTCAATGTATTTCATGATGATTTGGTTCCTCTTCCAGAAAGACCTACTGGAGAACTTAGTCAACTATCAAGATGTTTTATTTTAAATATATACCAAATAATATATATGCAAATAACAAATCACCAGCACCAGATGGTGTGGCTGCTGAATATGTGAAAGTTTCTAGGCATCTTACTGTACCTTATCTTATTCAACTTTTTCTCACATTTTTGATAGTAGTACATTCACAAGTTGCTAAGAGTTATAATTTGTCCTCTCTTACAGTCTGGATGTAAAATGACCCAACAACTATAGAAGTATTTCTCTCATAGACTAAACCTGTTAAGTATTTCCTTCAATTTTGAACAACTGTTTACAGAATTGGTGTGGAAGGCATAATATTATAATTGAATCACAAGCTGAAGGGAGATTACTCCACTAGTGACAATATGTTTTCATTGCAGGCAGTAGTCTAGAAATACACTGGTAGGAAAAGAGGCGGATTTTACTGCCTCTTCATTGACTTTTAGCAGGCATTTGACACTTAAAGACATAATGTTCTCCTTATGTACCTGCCGTCATTGTGTGAAGTTGGTGTCATATCTTTGGATATAATCAAATCAATGTCTATTAGTTCATCTGCATGTGTTAGCAACACTTAAGGTATGAGTGTTTTACTTGTAACATCAGCACCCATCAAGTATCTGTTTATGGTCCAGAAATATTTGTTATATTTATAAATGTTATGTACGGTAATGGGAAGAGAAGGTGGCCAAGGTATTACTGTTACATCTTCTATTAATGATGTGTGTCCTCTCATGTTTGTTGATGATGTGAGAGCAATGTCTGTGAACGACAGAGAAAGATAACTGTAGTGGGAAGTTTTTGTGAAGGTATTGGCATGAACGTAAATCTGAATAAAAATAAGATTATTGTGTTTAGAAATGGTGGTCCCTTAAGGTAAATGAATAGAGTGAGTGAGTATGTTTTTATGCCACTTTTAGCAATATTCCAGCAATATCACAGCGGGGGACACAATAAATGGGCTTCACACATTCTACCCATGTGGGGAATCGAACCCGGGCCTTCGTTGTGACAGGCGAACACTTTAACAACAAGGCTACCCGAACGCCCCCATAAGAAAAGTGGTTTTATGATGGCGCACCTATAGAAACAGTATCTTTATATAAATACCACGGACTTGTATTCACCCCTAAGTTAATCTGAAGTAAATCTCAGACTTGTATCACAAGCAAAGAAGATGATATATTTGTTTATGATTTCTAAAAGAACTTGGTAATATTTGTTTTCCAGATCTATTTGAGATATTTGATTGTATGATAGCACCTATACTATGTTAGGGTTTTGAAATATGGGGTGCCACATATTGTTATATTGTTGAATCTGTGCATGTTAAATTTTGTAAAGCTTGTTTAAAGGTTGATATATCTTCTTCTCATATTATGGTTCCAGGGGAATTTGGAAGAGTGTTTGACAATTTGTGTATACATATGACAGAGGCCATTAAGTATTGGTGCAGACTGTTACTTTCAGCAAACACTAGGCTACCAACACAATGTTATATTATGTTAAAATCTTTGGAAGATGTAGGCCATAATATTTGAGCAACACAAATAGAAAATATTGTTTTAATTTGGATTTGTCTGGATTAGTCAGAAAAAAATAATCCAAGCAGCCTTCATTGTACTTATTAAGCAAAGACTACATGATAATCTCTTTCAGTCATGCCAAGCATGCTTACACACAAATGTTAAGTGTTTTTTATACATGTACAGGTAGTTAGTTTAAAACCCTTCCCAATATCAAAAAGTATTTCAGCATAGGTGACCGTCCTCAACATTTCAAAACATCCTGTTCTAGACTTAGATGTTGTAATTTCAAGATGTTTTGGGTTTGTTTTTTTATTGATGTAATTTCAAGCTTGCTGTTGAGACTGGCAGATATGTACACATCATTTATGATGAAAGATATTGTATGTCATGCAGGTTGGAAAATACATTTACAAATAGCCTGTTTTTTATTAATAAAAAGTCTTCTTCTTGTTGCCACACTAAAGTTTGATAGTGCAAAATTCAATAGTGCCTTGCGGCAAACTTGAAAGAAATCTGGGTTTTTTTAATCACCAACCATGAACTGAACTGTAAATATGATCAATGAAGAAATTGTCTTATTATATTTATTGCATGGGCCCAGCAAGGTAAATGATTTGTTCCTAATTTAATTTCCATGAAAGCGACTTGGGGAACCACTGATTCTGATTTAGTGTGGAAGAACCTGTAAGGCACTGCAATTTGCTGTGCAGTGTTGAGCCCTTTTGGTTCGCCAGAAGCCTTTGAGTGCAGCCCCAATTATGTTTTCTTGGTTGGTCAGCACCATACCTGTGCTTGTGGGTTTCACCAAAGTCGTAAATGTCATAATTTCTGGCTTTCCCCACAGATTAAGCTGTAATGCCGTGTATAAATGGAATAATGGTAAAAGCGGTGTTTAACCTCAGTCATTCTTTTGTCAAGGAATACCTCTTTGATATATTTTGTTTCTATGTATATTTCTTTTGTATCTGAAAATATACCGAAGTGACAGTCACTTATGGTGTTTAACCATACTCAGTATAATATAAAATACCTAGAGGCTTAAAATGGCAAGTGTACCTTTCAGAAGGTATCCATGTAAACTTACACAGCAGTAGTGCATGCAGGAAAGTTGACTTGTTCTGTTTTGCTGGTTTTGTGATAAGTTGGAATCCAGTTGATAAATGGGCATAGGCGGGGCACAGGTCATCTTTCAGATTGACATGGGTGGTCACAAAGAGAAGGCTATATATGGTTCTACAACTTTATTAAATACATGAAGCTGATAAAAAAGAGATAAGTGTTTTCCATCATCATGGTCATGTCAAGAGAAAAGAATGAGTAAAAAATATCAAATGAATACCTTATTTTACACATTGATTTATGGTATTTTACATTTCAGAGGTCGAAGTGAGGGTTGTAATATGTGACAGCACCATTGCGTAATGGATAGAAGTAAAGAGATTCCTTCCTCTCAGTCGGTATCATCTAGACCACCAACAGAACTAAACCCTAGCTATGGAGCACCAGCTGGATCAAACCCTAGCTACGGAACACCAGGTGGACAAAACCTAAACTATGGAGCACCAGCTGGACAAAACTCAAACTATGGAACACCAGCTGGACAGAGCCCTGGTTATGGAGCACCAGGTGGACAAAACCCAAACTATGGACCAACAGCTGGACAAAACCCAAACTATGGACCAACAGCTGGACAAAGCCCTTGTTATGGAGCACCAACTGAACAAAATGTTCGTCTTGGAGCACCAGCTGAACAGAACCCTGGGAAGGAACATACCAAATCTCTCACATCAAGTCGATCTGAGATGATGAGCCCCCAAAAGGATGATGTGGAAGAAGTATCTAATATGTTGCATTCACCAACCATTTCAAGCAACACATTAAACTGTCAAGATCCTGAGCTGGAAAGTGTGAAACAGGTAGGTTCATTTGTTTGTTTGCTTTTTTACAATTTAAGAAATCCCTTTCGTTTTGCATTACTTGAACCACAGTTTGTGTACAGAAAATAAAATTCAGCAGACTTCAGGAGCCGAATACATCTTCCAGAGGATAATTGTAACCAGTAGAAATGGATTTTGATAAAAGGACAACAAAAATATTTTGTTAAAAAGATTTCAGGGAGATGTCCTCCACCAATATGGATGGTTTTGATTCATTTGTTAGACCATCTTCCAGAGGCAAAAGAGTTAACTGACTTTAAAAGTCCAGTTTCCACCCTTGCCGAACTCGGCTGGAATAACTGGACCCGATTGTAGCGCCACCAGTGGTTATTACGAGTTATGTCCCTTCTAAACCTCTCCTATGGACTCCACCATGATATTGCTGGAATATTGCTAAAATCGGTGTATAAGCGTACTCACTCACTCACTCACTCTCCTATGGACCAATCAGAACCCACCTGTCATATCATTTGCATTTGTTTTAAACAAAATGGCGACACCATGTCAAGACGATCTGATCGATAATCAAGATCTATAAAACTATAAAACGGGTCTTACACCACGAAGTGCATTACATCACGTGAGCACTTGATTAAGAACATGAAAAGTTATGGACATAATCTGTTGATGCCAAGTTGGCAGTACACATGCTTTACGAATCTTGTATTCAACTGAAATCTCCACAACAGTTTACGAACTGGATTTCGATTTTGTTGCGCAACTTTCATTGGACTAGGCATAGACTCGTTAGTCCAGCCATGTAACTCCATAATACCAGCCTGGTTCAGCAAGGGTGGAAACTTGACTATTATAGTCAGTTAACTCACTTGCCTTCGGAAGATGTTGTTAGACATGTCATCATGCAAATGTATATAGAGTTTTGATAATAGTCAAATTGGTTGCTTATAAAGACATCAAAAGTCAATCAAGTTTGGTTTAAAGGTTGTCAATATCTGTCAATATTAAAGTCAAGGTGACGTGATATTTACTAATTACTATAATCAACATGGTAATAAACTTGTGCATGGTTATTATACCCCGCCACTGAGTGGAAGGGGGATATAGGAATGGGTGCCGTCCGTCCGTCCTTCTGTCCGTCCATCCGTCACATTTCGTTTCCGGAGCAGAACACAAAATCCATGAGAGATATCTTAACCAAACTTGGCACATTGATAGGTCTAGTGGTGAACTGGTGTCTTTTGATAGTTTGGGATTTTGAAAAAAAATAGTTTTTCAAGTTTCCATGGCAACGACTTTGACTTAAACTGAAAATGGTGGCATTCCTTGTTTCCGTAGCAGATCTTGAAAAACGTATGATATTTCTTCACCAAACTTGGCACATAATGTCATCTCGCAGTATTGAATACATTTCCTTTCTTGTTGGCAAGTTCTGCATTGCTTGTGTGTATGTTCCTCCAAAAGTGGGGCGGTCGGGTAGCCTAGTGGTTAAAGTGTCCGCTCGTCACGCCGAAGACCCGGGTTCGATTCCCGACATGGGTAAAATGTGTGAAGCCCATTTGTGGTGTCCCCCGCCGTGATATTGCTGGAATATTGCTAAAAGCGGCGTAAAACGATACTCACTCACTCACTCACTCCTCCAAAAGTGTCATGAACACGGTTGTCGCTTTCACTTACTAACTTCATGCAGAAACTTCAAGATCTCTCCAAACAGCATGAATGTGAACATGTCCTAGTAACTGGGGATTTCAACTGTGATCTGAGTGAAAAACTGAAACTTGAAGATTTCTTTAATGTGCGGAAAATGACTCAACTCATTCACTCTCCAACTGGTTGTTTACTGATCATTACCAGTGCTGTAGCATTCCAGACTCCAGTCTACTACTCAGATCATCAGATGGTTGCGGCTGTACTTCTCAGTACACCACATGGTGACCCCTGCTCTCAATGTTCTCTAAGTAAATTAAGAATTCCCTTGCTTCCCTCATTATTGTTTCAGTAATAACACAACTCATTACAAATTCAACAATGTAACTGATCTTAAACCTACTCAACTGTATAAACACTACCTCCTATCCTGTATATATTCTTAACAACCATACTCTGTACTTCACTTGCTTGATAACGGTGTTAGAACCTACATCGAAATGTCGCTCCTAATTGTAATAAAGATGTTGTTCGTCCATATGTCTCAACCTTACTCATTACAAATACAGTTACGTATTCTATCATAAACTGCAGATGGCAAAACAACACCAGTAATAACTATTGTTAGTGCTGCAATTAGGACATTTGCAAAAAGGTCCAGTGAACATAGATCACAGGTGCTAATGCATTGCACACAACAGGACATGTCTTATTGGCGGGGGATATGAGTATTTCATGCTTGTTTTTAACAAGTTTATTTCATCCAATAACATCAAAATTAAAAGGCGACTGACTATATTTGTTATGATTAAAGAGATCAAATTTACATGACTTACATTGGCTTTGGATCTTTGGTGAAGGTGTGTGTGCATAAGATAGTATACATACAGTTAGTAGGCCATTAATGACTCCAGTAGGTCTGGGTCAATAATACATTCTCGTAATTTGTATGTTAAACTAATCTTTTGAAGACATGATGTAATACAAATAGTAACGGAATTGGATCAGATTCACTTTGTAGGAGGTCAGAATGACTTGTCGTGAGTGAGTGAGTGAGTTAGGTTTAACGCCGTTTTTAACCGTATTCCAGTTATATCATGGTGTGTCAGCTTAATGTGGGAGGAAAGCCCGAAGTGATGCAGGTCTCAGACATTAACCACTTCAGTGAAACCCACAGAATGGCTTTTGAAACATTTTACATTCTATGGGCTATTGTCAGTGTTGACTATTCACAAAATATCTGGACTGACAGCCAGATTGGCAACTCAAAAAATCTTTTCACATTTAGAAAATTGCCAGTCCAGATTTTGTTAGTTTAATCAGAGACCATATAATATATTATATGGTCTCTGGTTGAATGAATAAAATCTTTGCAAATGAGGATAAAGTCAGTTAAATGGTTAAATATCAACAAACCAGTTTGTCAGCCGCACATTGTTATGCCACATGCGTACAGTGCACTATTGCGGTGGTTGGAGAACATGCCAAAGCTTCATGCATTTCTCATTGGCTACAGTAAGATTTCGTGCAGTCACAAATGAGTCAATTAGCAGTATTGATATATCATCATGGCAGCGAATATAAGTTTTAAATAATTTTTAATTTATATATTTTACATAGATGGTTTAAAATATCGACATGACAATAGGGCCTGCATTTTTATCCCCCCGGCTTATAATGCCGGGGGATATAGCGATCAGCCAGTCTGTCTGTCCATCCGTCCGTCTGTGTGTCCGTAATCATTTCCTTTTCCGAGGCAGAGCTAGAAAACAGTTCAGTGTATTTGATAAAACTTTGCAAATTTATCAGTCACATACTGAAGTTGTGCCTTTTGCTATGTAGGAATTTTAGAATTTTTTATTTTTTTGTTTCCATGGCAACAAGTTGGACTTAGGTTCTATAAGAGTGGTGTTCATTTCCGGAGTGTAACTAAAAAAACGTTAAATACTTTCCAACAAAACTTTGCATGTCTACCAGGCACATACTGAACTGGTGTCTTTTGCTATTTAGGAATTTTAACAAGTTTTTTTTGGTTACATTTCCATGGCAACAAGTTGGACTTAGGTTCTATAGGGTAGAGTTCATTTCCGGAGCATAACTCAAAACCCATTCAAAACTTTCTAACAAAACTTTGCATGTCTATCAGACTCATGCTGAACTGGTGCCTTTTGCTATTAAGGAATTTTATACATTTATATTTGTTACGTTTCCATGGCAACAAGTTTGACTTAGGTTCTATAGGGTAGAGTTCGTTTCCGGGGCATAACTCAAAAACTGTTAAATACATTCTTACAAATCTTTGCATGTCTACCAGGCACATACTGAACTGGGGCCTTTTGCTATTTAGGAATTTGAAATTATTTTATTTTTTACGTTTCCATGGCAACAAGTTGGACTTAGGTTCTATAGGGTAGAGTTCATTTCCGGAGCATAACTCAAAACCCATTCAAAACTTTCTAACAAAACTTTTCATGTCTATCAGACTCATGCTGAACTGGTGCCTTTTGCTATATAAGGAATTTTATACATTTTTATTTTTTACATTTACATGGCAACAAGTTGGAATAAGGTTCTGTAGGGTAGAGTTTGTTTCCGGAGCATAACTCAAAACCCATTCAAAACTTTCTAGTAAAACTTTGTATGTCTATCAGATTCATGCTGAACTGGAGCCTTTTTCTATTTAGGAATTTGATAAATTTATATTTTTTACTTTTCCATGGCAACTAGTTGGACTTAAGTTCTGTAAGGGTGGTGTTCATTTCCGAAGTGTAACTCAAAAAACGTTAAGTACTTTCCAACAAAACTTTGCATGTGTACCAGGCACATGCTGAACTGGTGTCTTTTGCTATTTTGGGATTTTAACAAGTTTTTGTTTGTTACATTTCCATGTCAACAAGTTGGACTTAGGTTCTATAGGGTAGAGTTCGTTTCCGGAGCATCACTTAAAACCCAATCAAAACTTTCTTACAAAACTTTGCATGTCTACCAGGCACATACTGATCTGGTACCTTTTGCTATTTAGGAATGTTAGAAATTTTTATTTATTACATTTACATGGTAATAAGTTGGACTTCGGTTCCATAAGGGTGGTGTTCGTTTCCGGAGCATAACTCAAAAACTGTTAAATACTTTCTTACAAAACTTTGCATGTCTACTAGGCACACACTGAACTGGTGCCTTTTGCTATTTAGGAATTTTAAACTTTTATATTTGTTACGTTTCCATGGCAAAGAGTTGGATTTAAGTTTTAATATAGGGTGGGTTCACTTATTGAGTATAACAAATAAACTGTTAAATATTTCCTTGCCAAACATTGCAAACAAAGCACATACTTAAATGGTGCCATTTGATATTAAGGACTCTTGTTAAACACTGCTATTGAACCACATTTGGAATTTGTGTCTTGGTGAGATTTATCAATATTTAATGAAATTGAATCATTTCATTGAGAAGATGTGTGTAATGTCTCAGGATGATCCTACAGAACAGACATTTCCAGCTGATCACAAATTGATATGAATGGATATCTTATTATCCTCCGCCCAACAAAGTTGGCGGGGGATATAGAAACGGGCTCCCTCCGTCTGTCCGTCTATCCGTCTGTCACGTTTCGTTTCCGGAGCATAACTCAGAAACCGTTCAATATTTCATGAAACTTTGCAGGTCTGTCAAGTATATGCTGAACTGGTGCCTTTTGCTATTAAGAAATTTTTATTTTTTACGTTTCCATGGCAACAACATGGACTTAGGTTCTTTGAGGGTAGGGTTCGTTTCCGGAGCATAACTCATAAACCGTTCAATATTTTTTCATCAAACTTTGCAGGTTTGTCAGGTACATGGCAACAAGATGGACTTAGGTTCCAAACTCTTCTCTTTTTTACAATTTCCATGACAAGTTCCAAGTTGAAAGGTTAGGGTTTGTTTAGATTTAATTATGTCATAAATTCTGCAGCAGGGGCGGGGGATATAGCCAGGTTAGTGGCAAACTCTTGTATGTTATACGTTATTACCAAAGTCATCAGATATTTTGTTCTGTATTTTCTGGTATTTCTTGCATTTAGAAAGTTCATAAGTTGGATAAACTCAGCCTTTTCCCTCGCTCGCAGTTTTTTGTTTTCAACCAAATCAGTTTCCAAACAGTGAGATGTTCTTTCTAAAACTTGACATTTGATGGTCAGATGGTCATATAATGTTTGGTGCAAATTCAAATCAAAGTGCCTCTGATGCGAGGCAGTTTGTTATTGTTGCTAGCCACCCAACATGATGACATTTATATTTTCAGATTGGTAGTGGAGGCGGTGGCGGAGGTGGTGGTGGTGGTGGTGGGGGAGGCTCCATGAGCAAGCAAGGCAGCCAGCAACGTAACCATAGTGACGTACGGGGCACCAAGAACGTTTCCAACCAACTGGACGTTAAGCTCCATCACTCAGAAAATGCCTGGAAACCTGGCAATCAGAAGACAGATGACAAGGAGAAGACGGATGAATCCAAGACCACGGTATGATTCCATTGTACTGGGCTGGGATCAGTCTGAAGAAACAGGGTCAAATATATATCATGTTATCCGTAATAAGTTGGGGTGGTAATGTTCTTCAGGGATTTGAAGGTTGATAAGTCTTTTTTAGATTAAGCATGAATGTCATCGGATCCTTGTCACAGCCCTAGTGCTAACAGCGCTTCAGATGCGTATTTGCCTAATATATTCACATTATATAATTAATTTTTAGCTGCTTCCGTGCAAATTAACATGGAGCCCAAGGCTAAATTTTCAGAACAAGATGCTGTGCTTGGGCAGCCTCTGTTCAGTGAACAAAACATTGCCATATTCAATGCTTGTTTGAATGATCTATCAGACTGCCTATCAGTAACCTTGTCATTTTCACATGAACACGTGTATGCTTTGTTTTTCAGGATTTGTACCGCAAAGTGCGAAGTATATTGAACAAGTTGACCCCACAGAAGTTCCAGACATTGATTAAACAAGTTCAGGGCCTGGTTATTGACACTGAGGACAGACTGAAGGGGGTAACAGATATTATATTTGAAATGGTGAGACATTTGTCCAACAGCACTGTTCTAAATGCAAGGTAGCATCTGCGTGCAGGTGTCAGTTCACAGGGGGATCTTAGTCATATTACTGGAGGATGTAGTTGTCAAAAGGACAGCAATTCCGTTGGTGGCATCTCAGATTCTCCTCAGTGACAATCCTGGAATGATGACACCATAGCTATGAAGAAAATCTTTGGTGACCTGCATCACTCTAAGCTTTCCTTCCTCCCATGTTAAGTTTGTGTACTTTGTGTAACTAAGATAATGTTGAATGCCGTGTTCAATCCAAGCCACTTGCTTTTGGTTTTACTTTTACGCAAGTGTAAAGAAGCCACAGAACGTTTAAAGAAGTAGGTTGGTAAGTTTGTTGTTTTACCCCGCACTCAGCAATATTCTGGCTATATGACAGCGGTCTGTAAATTATCAAGTCTGGACCAGACAATCCAGTGATTGACATAATGAGCATCGATCCACGCAATTGGATGGATGGTTGGATGGTTTGTTGTTTAACGCCGCACTCAGCAATATTCCAACTTTATGACAACGGTCAGTAAATAATCAAGTCAGGACCAGACAATCCAGTGATTAATTTCATGAGCATCGATCCACGCAATTGGATGGATGGTTGGATGGTTTGTTGTTTAACGCCGCACTCAGCAATATTCCGGCTATATGACAGCGGTCTGTAAATAATCAAGTCTGGACCAGACAATCCAGTGATTGACATAATGAATCAACCAAGTTAGCGAGCCTGACCACCCGATCCCATTAGTTGCCTTTTACGACAAGCATAGTTGCCTTTTTCGGCAAGCATGGGTTGATCGCTGCTGGTATGTCTTGAATATTGCTGAGTGTCTCTCACGGTCACATGTGTACTTGTGTTTTAAATGCACTGTTTTCTCAGGAAAAAGTGTTTTCTGTCCCCCTTATTGGCTACTTTGATATTAATAAAGATTTAAGACATGCACTTGTTTTCTCTATTTCAGGCTATCAGAGAGCCTGCCTTCAGTGTGGTTCATGCAAACATGTGCAGATATTTATTAAACGTAAGTACCACGTTCTTGTTCATCATGAAATGCATACCAGAAGAAATACTACTCATACCTACTAAATGTATTGTTTTGAAAATGATAAAATTTTCAAAGAACTGGTTAATAAAAGTGTCATTGTATTTCTCAGGAATAATTTCCTGTCACTTTTACGGAGGAAGTTAATGTGTGCATAATTTCATTCCAGCTTAAAGTGCCCTCCGACAGCAAACAAGGGGAAACAATTGGTTTCCGTGTGATATTATTAACAAGATGTCAGCGGGAATTCGAAAAAGTTAATGACGCCCAAGTTGATCTCGACCGGAGGAAGAAGGCTATAGAAGAAGCTGACCCGGTACTTACTTTGTTTTGGGTTTATGAGGAAGTGGTCATACAGATTGAGACATTTGGTATCGGTTGAAGTTTCTTAACTTCCTGTTCAAAGGAACACATTCAATTTTCAACATCATTTGGTGTGTGCCAAAATATGTTCATAGAAGTAGCGTTAACATTTTATTTAATTTCAAGTGAGAAATTTAAAAAAATTCAAATTAATAAATTGTAAATTGATATTTCTTGAAAGTTTAAATCTACATTGTATGATGTTGTGTACAACAGGCAAACAAGAAGAAGTTGAAGGAAGAACTGGCGATTGCTGCCACCACTGCAAGGTGGAGATCTATAGGGAACATAAGGTAAGACAGGAACTTTGTCCCACATGGTGCTGCAACACATATATCACGTCTTGTGGGCTTCAATAAATCTGCTACCCTGCATGTCAAGTAGCCTACGTCCAGGCCACCATTAATCACATAGCTGTAATGTACTGTAGACCAGAAGAACGTAACAAATCCTGATTTTTACTTTTGGAAAGATGGCAGCTGGGGTTAGCACAAACTGCACTAAAAGCTAACAGCGCATTGAATATGATGCTGGAATAAAGTATGGAGGTTTTGTCTCATGATGAAAGTGGTAACCAATGCATATAATGTATGAAATGATCTAATGACCTTTCTTTTTTGTTTTTCAGATTTATAGGCGAGTTATTCAAGTTGAAAATGTTGACAGAAAATATTATGAATGTCTGGGTTTTCAAGTTGTTACGATCTAGAGATGAGGAGAACCTGGAATGTGTGTGTCATCTCCTTTCCACCATCGGGAAAGAACTCGAGTCAGACAAAGCCAAGGTAACCAAAGGAACCATGTATGGGGGGTGGGGGAACTCTAAAACATGAGAGCTGCATTGCAGTTTTAATGATAATGGCTGGGGTCAAAGGATATGTCTCCCATTTGAGTCATTTAAGCTCACGCTCACACACAAAACATTGAATAGCTCTTCAGCAAGCAATGCTTGCCGTAAAAGGCGACCATGCTTGTCGTAAGAGGCGACTAACGTGATCGGGTGGTCAGGCTCGCTGACTTGGTTGATGCATGTCATCGATCCCAAATGCGTGGATCAATGCTCATGATGTTAATCACTGGATTGTCTGGTCCAGACTCGATTATTTACAGACTGCCGTCATATAGCTGGAACATTGCTGAGTGCAGCCTTAAACAATAATCTACCTTTGTAAATTCTGATGTGATTTTTATATTTGTTGTAGACATCTGATAAGCACTCCTTTGTTTCCGGAACCATCACTAAATCAATCGGGTTAGCAACTCAACAATCTCAATTATTTTTATCAAGCAAATAACAAAAACAGATACATGTCAACATCTTTTTATGGTTGTGATGTTGTTTTCCAGCCAAGAATGGACCAATATTTCCAACAGATGAAGGAGATAGTTGCTGAGAAGAAAGTGTCCTCAAGATGCCGATTCATGCTGCAGGATGTTGTAGAATTACGAGATGTGAGTGTTTTAGTCTGGGGAAGCAATTACATGTGGTCAGGTAGCCTTGTGGTTAAGATGTTCAATTGTCATGCTGCAAACCCATGGGGATTCCAGGTTAGAATTGGTCCCTAGCAACCTATGCTGGTTGTGAGAGGCGACTTAGTGGTTTGGGTGGTCAGACTTTGTTGAAAGTGCCTTACTGTACTGCGACAACATGGATCTTTGCACACAAAAACAATTACTTGATTGTCTGGTACAAACTTGAGTGTTAACAGGGATATTGCCGGGTTCAGTGTAAAGTAACAAAAACTTTATCTTGATCTCAAACTTTTTGTCAGAAGAGACTACATGATGATTAATTCCCATCTTAAGATACACGTGGATTTCATGAATTCCTCGTTTCTGATGGTTTCTTTTCTGACAAAATCGTACATACATCAGCTTTAAGAGGCAAGTAAAGTGAAAAAAATGATTGGAGTTTAATGAATCAATTTTTGAATATACATTTTATAGGCAATAATCCCATCCCAATTAACAATCGGTTCTAGCATGTTTATTGCTGACATCCTGTTTCTTCAGTATTGTTACTTAGGTGACATCGGGTGTGGATGCTGTAATCAAATGGATGAGCAGCATAATGTATAACAAAATCAGAGGCAGATTGGGCAATGGTCATCAAGATCATTGCAATCAAAGGACTCCTCAAACACAGGAAACATATTTTAATTTGTTTGTTTGGGGTGATAATTTCGTCAGTTGGTGTTTTTTTTTATTGTTTTATGGTTTTTCCGTTTTTCAAATTTATCTTTGGACAAGCATTTGTAAATTAAGTATTAAAATCTGCAAAGGTTTTTAGTTGACTTTATTTGCCCTTTAGACCACTCACTGATGATATCATGAGGCTATTGGTACACTTGTGTTCTGACCATTCCTTCCCTGCTTCAGTGTAACTGGAAGCCCAGGCGAAGAGATGACAACCCCAAAACCATCGACCAGATCCACAAGGACGCCAAGCGAGAAGCTGTGGAACAGAACATGTTGGCAGCATTGCACATGGCAAATCAGCAACCACAGCAGCAGCATCAACCAAGACACAATAAGCGTAATTACATCTTGGGCAATCCTTGGTCAAAAACCGATAGCAGCAAACATGAGAATAAGTAATGAACAAAGGGAATCAGATACTTAGTTTCAAACACTGTCCAATAATGATATTGCTTCAGTTTTGCGAGCTTAAATATATTGTAATGTAGAGTCCTAAAATGTTGTTTTGACCAACTGCATGGTTTAGTGGACAGAGCATCAGCCCAGAGAGCTGAAAGTCGTGGATTGGTCCCCAGCAACTTCACTTCAAAAGACATTAAAAGATGGTGCTTGTTGTAACCATGCCTGGTGCTCTCGAGGTGGTAAAACTTGGTCAGTACACTGGGGTGTCGGTGTTAACTGCAGCATCGTGTCTCAGTGGGCTAGCACTATTAAACCAGCATTTGTCCAAAATAGAAAGTGCAGTAATCTTAACGCAGCATTAAGTCCCACTTTACCTGTTGCAGGTACCCGAGGCCGACCAGGACAGGGTGGTGGAGGAGGCGGCGGCGGCAGTGGTGGCAACATGGAGGAGGTTTGGAACACAGTCAGCAGCAAGGCCATTAGGAACATCGACAGAAACATTGATGTGTCCAAACTCAGGATAGAAAAGGTTATATTAGTGGCTTTGTCTTTTGGATCAGGTTGTGTGACCTTGTAGTAAAACATCACATCATTCACTTGCCGGATATTAAGGGCAGGTGGCCACTGGTTTGCCTGTTCAGGCTTGATCACTGCAGTCAACAGTGATACCGATAATACATTGAAATGGAAAGTTGTGATCAAAGTTTTGTCAGAACAGACTACATGATGATTAATTCCCATCTTAAGATTCATGTGGATTTCATGAATTCCTCGTTTCTGATCGTCTGTTTCATGACAAATGTGTTTTGGTCTGGTTGATTATCTGAAGGAACGACTGGTTAACATACCACCTTGTGTATGTAACAGAGAATATATAGCAAGTAATTGACTCTATGCAGAATGCTGATGAAAACATCCAACTGGGTCCAGCCAGGAGTTTCGGCGGCTGGGGAAGAGGCAGTAGTGGTGGAGGTAGCAGAGCTTCAAAGGAGGGTGACAAGCCAAACGCTCCTGGAAACAGGTGAGAAGAAAATAATACTATGAAATATTGCAACTATCTAACTTTTGTAGACAGACTAAGTGATGATTAATTCCCTTCTGAAATTTGATGTGGATTTCATGAATTCCTCATTTCTGATAGTCTGTATACGAACATTTAGGATATAATCTTCATGTCCGAACTACACTTCTTGTCAATGTTGGTCATCAGAATGCAGTCAATTATTTGTTTCATGGCATAAATCAATGTATGATTTCCAACTGCATTAGTTCTGGGGAATAAAACATCGTCCTCATGACATGTTTAAACTATGTTTGGAGTACTTCGGCTGAAGCTCAACATGAGTTCTCCTAGTGTTTTCATGAGACCTGAATTGCCTGTAACAAACTTTGCTGAAACATAGAACACCATTGTGTGTTTGAATAGTCATGAATCACCAGAACAAGTACCTGGTTGGTGTTCATGAGGTTGTTCCATTGTTGCAGGAGCATAGTGAGTGGCCGGGCCACCCCTCCATCCGGAAATGCAAGTAGAGAGGGAAGTCGAACACGGTCGTCACAGAAGGTGGAGAGACCAGCACCATCTATGAAGGAACTGACGGAGTATGAGATGGAAAAGAAGACCTACTCAATAGTAGATGAATATTTGCATATGCAGGATCGAAAGGTCAGCATGTTATCTGATTATTATGAAACTTGGTCAGGACCTCTACAGATATGTAAGACCGCCTTCGTGGCTCTTGTGGTAGAGCGTCCGCCCAGAGAGGAGAAGGTCCGGGGTTCGATCCCCGGCCGTGTCATACCAAAAGACGGTCAAAGATGGTACTTGTTGTTACCCTGTCCGGCGCTTGGCATTAAGGGGCTAAAACAAGGACTGGTCAGCTCGGAGTCAGTATATTGTGTCTGAGTGGGGTATTCATGTTAAACTGCGGCATGGTATCTCAGTGGGCTAGCACTATATATCGGCATCAGTCCGGACTAGTACAAGCAGCCACACGCACACACATGCATGCACATCGCTATGTAAGTGCAATAATCTTGGACGCGACGTTAAACCCAATTTCACCTCACCTCACCTGTACAGATATGTTATAAATGATCTTACATTGCTCTTTCCATTTGGCACAACAACAAACACTAGTTGCATCTCATTGAAATTTCTGGTCAAAAGAAAGAGGCTTATTGGGAAAACTATTTGACCAAATGGTTCTTTTATAACTATTCATTGTGCTTTCGACTCTTGGCTAACATGACAATTACAGTGTTTTTTCAGGAGGCTATCCAGTGTGTACAGGAGTTGAACTCGCCCAAAACCATCCATTTCTTTGTGTGTTTTGCAATTAACCATGTGCTGGAGAGGTCAAAGCAAGCTCGCCAACAGACAGGGCACCTGCTTCATGATTTGATCAACCGGAAAATCATCTCTGTCGACACCTACTTACTGGGGTGAGTGTTCTGAACCAAGCCAGATTAACATTTTTTTAAATTCTTGGAGCATAGATACATATGTACAAGTATGTTATTAGATGTAAATTGTTAAATTCAACAACTGAGCAGTTGTCAATCCACTGTAGATAGAAAATGAAATCACAATCAGTTCTCAAAACTGATATAATTATTCCCCGCCCAACAAAGTTGGCGGGGGATATAGAAACGGGCTCCGTCTGTCCGTCCGTCCGTCACGTTTCGTTTCCGGAGCATAACTCAGAAACCTTTCAATATTTTTTCATGGAGATTTGCAGGTCTGTCAAGTACATGCTGAACTGGTGCCTTTTGCTGTTAAGAAATTTTAGAAATTTTAATTTTTTACGTTTCCATGGCAACAAGATGGACTTAGGTCCCAAACTCTTCTTTCTTTTACAGTTTCCATGACAAGTTCCACCTTGGTTAAAAAAGGTTAGGGTTTGTTTATATTCAATTATGTCATAAATTCTGCAGCAGGGGCTATAGGCACGTTAGTGGCAAACTCTTGTTATGTATTAGCAGGTTCCTTTGCATATTGATGTAACCGTAACCTGTTTCAGATTGACGGAGATTCTTCTGTCAGCTGAGGACATGGAGATTGACATCCCCAAGATTTGGCAGTATCTGGGTGAGCTGATCGGACCCATGATCCAAGATGGCAGTGTTCCTCTTAGCTTCCTCAACAAGGCCTGTGAGCCACTGAAGGCGTCCGGCAAGGCGGGCAACCTCATGGCAGAGATCTTGCACGATGCCAGTCAGAGACTTGTAAGTTGCTTCAAGCAGTTGTATTTTTATGAATTTGGCTTTACATTTGGTTGAGTAAATTGGAATATGTGTAGAACGGGTCCAGATTGATTATTTCTCTGAATTATCCCACCTTGAGTCCGAAAGAACCTTTCATAAGCTTGGAATCTTTGGCAATTTCAAGTAAAACAAATTGTAAATTTGCATGTAAAAAATACTGGTGTGTATGTTTCTGAATGTGATCGAGTTATGATGATGTGCAGAGTGATGAGTTACTGTTGTGTTGTTGTTTTAGCTTATATTAAATTCAATTTCAGGGACACAAGATCGTCACACATTTATGGCGAACCAACTGCATGGACTGGAGTTTCTTTGTACCTCAGTAAAAAATCCAGCAGTTTTTGAAAGAAAAAGTAAAATACTTGATCCAGAAAACCAACACTGACCATGAGTGACCTTAATTTCATGTATTTGGATTTATGATGCTGATAACTCCCATCTTTAAATTAATGCAAAATCTGTGGAATATAATAATATGGAATGCTAATTTTCCATGACACTACTTTGAAACATATGAAGCAGAAATATTTGAGTGAGGCTGCAATAAAGGGACATAATCCAGTAGTCAAGTGTTTACCTCCCTTGTTACAGAGCCTGGAGTTCACCGTGGGCCCAGACTCGGCACCCAGCACACCTACCAGTAAAGTGTCCATAGAATGGATCAAACAGAACCTTGCAGAGCTCTTGCTCAAGCCCAAATGTGATGATGAACAGATATTTGACTGGATTGAGGTAAGGAGGACTTGTTTCAGGGTCTGTTGCCCACTTTCGGTTGTGTAGATGTCGTGAATTGTTGCAATGTGTGAAGGAGGCCATTGTGGACTTTTACAGAGAGACAAATAGTGTTCAATTGAATAAATATGCCTGCTTGGACAGTCAATTTGCCTGAGCCTCAAGCCCTTGTTCCTGCATATCTGATCACAAAGTTTTCAGTGATATTGAGCTGAGTAAAGCATTTTCTTTTAACAAAGGTTTCAATGTTATGTACCTAACTGCCTCAGATGTCTTTTTGTGTCATCTTTCTGAATCACATTATTATTTTACCAGGCCAATGTCCCTGATGAGATTACCAAAGAAAATAGATTTATCAGGGCCTTAATGACTACCGTCTGCTCCAGTGCAATATTAGGTGAGTATCCTTGAAACATCCTTAACCAATTCAAATCAAAGATTAACAAGTTCTTGTAACGTGTATAGGCATCTAAAAGGTTTCAGTTCCTTGTATAATTTTTTAAAGGCTACCAAATAATTGCAAGCTTTTGACAGGTATAATTGTTATCACATCCTGATCAATGCCCATGTTAATCACTCATTTTCCTCGTCCGTCAGCAATCTCATATTACATTCAACCATAGTCATTGACTCTTAATAACCATTACTCTTTCCCATAAACTTTTCAGGTACTGGCAACATGGCAAAAGTTGACCAAGAACATATAAAGAAGTGGCGATCCCTCCTGCAGAAGTACCTGGATCACCAGCCTGTATTTGAGTTGCAGGCTCTGTATGCTGTGCAGGCACTCGTCCACTCACTGGAATATCCATCAGGTATGTTCAAGTCTATACTGTATGGACGTCAACTTCTGACCCATAACAAGGCATGACCTTGGTCGCAATATGATGTTTAGCTAAAACATGGAAAAAGGTAGAAAGTTTATTAAATTAACAATGCATTTTCAATTATTTTTCTTCTCATAACCTTAAGTTGTTATCCATAAGTTATCTCTACTTTGTCATCTTCTAAGTAATGCGGGGTGGCCGGGTAGCCTGGTGGTTAAAGTGTTCGCTTGTCACGCCGAAGATCCGGGTTCTATTCCCAACATTGGTACAATGTGTGAAGCCCATTTGTAGTGTCCCCTGCCATGATATACCTGGAATATTGCTGAAAGCGGCGGAAAACCAAACTCACTCACTCAGTAATGCCTATCAAACAATTCTCATGACATTTGCTCAATAAATATACCTGTAATATCTTCTATGGGCATGACCACAGCATCTGGTCTATATATAGCGTTGTGAACCAGTTCTTGAATGGTGAGTGTAATTATTGCCCAAGTATTAGAGTGAACACCTGCATACATTTGTTACTGCTCCATGTTTCAGGTGTCCTGCGGACATTCTTTGATACACTTTATGATGAGGAAATCATCTCAGAAGATGCATTTAATCAATGGGAAACCAGTAAAGAAGAGCAGGAAGGGAAGGGAGTTGCGCTCAAGCAAGTTGTTCAGTTCTTTGCGTGGCTACGTGAAGGGGAGGAAGAGGAGGCTGACAGCTAAGAATAGGCTTATTATTAGGACAAACTTGGATCACAAACTGCAGTATGAAATTACAAATATGATTGTCATTGCTGTTTAAATGTGTGCACCAGAGGATGAAAGAAATGATTAATTTATGAGCTTGCTGTATAAATGTGCTTTCTACTTGTTGGAGAAAACAAAGGATCTTCTGACAGCCAAATATAACCATGGATGTGTTTTTGTTTTTTTGTTGCCATGGTCTTCGTTGATGCAGATGTTTGTTAATGCATATATCAATTATATGCATTTAAAAAATTGCCTACACGGCTGTGCATTTGTATGTATATCGAGGGAGATGTTGACAAGCCAAGGAACGAGGGAGTCTGAAGAATATTTAGAATACCTTGTTGATCTACTGTGAGGTGCTAGGCTTGTTTGAGAATGGATATGTAACACTTTAACCAGAAGCCCTGCAAGGGAATTTCAGATGTTTTTGTTTTTTTTCTTGGTGAATTCTCTGGATCATGTTTTGTTTTTTGATAATCATTCATAAATTATATACATATATCCATATTATATATAAACTGCATAATTTCATATGCAAAGTTGTGTTGGTTGAACTGTATGAATGACCGATATAAACTATCTTGTGGAAGATGATCGACGAAAGAAAAGAATATGAAATGTGCATTCTCTACAGACTATAGACAGTGAGCCTGATGAGTCAGGTAGTGTCCATCAACTTTGGATAATACAAACACTTCGAAGCCAGGACTTCGTGAACTACAGGTTATGAAACTTCCCAGCTCAACCAACTAAATGCCTCTCCAAGCTATGATGGAGGGACCCATTTGAAGAAGTATGGCTACAGCAGGCAAGGATCCTACTTCATAGGGCTAAAACCTGCTTCTTTATTTTGCATGAGCAACTTGTACAGTTTGTCACCATTACTGATGCCTGTTCTACCCTTCAAAACCATTACGGGTAAACGTTTCCCACAAGTGACTGGAGTTTATTGAATGTGGATGCCTTTGGTTATGTTTGTGTATATATTGACTACAAGAATATTGGTATGCTGATAATGGAGTTGGTTGGAATTCTTATTCATGGAAATATGGCCCATTTCCATTGAAAAGGGAAAACATAAAAAGCTATTATTCTGTCATGTTATGTTGACAATGTTCCACATGCAAAATATCTGTGAAAAAAATATTGATTATGTGAATGATACCTCAGATATATAGTCAAGAGGTATCAAATATTACAAGTTACAAATACTGAGAAATGTGAAACTTGCCTTTATTTATATTTGTAGGATTTGATAATTTAAGCTTCGTGTACTGAGTTGATAAATTGAGTTGATTGTGTGTATGTGCTCAGTGGCTCCTGAGTAATGACGAACTCATGGCTCTCCTACCAGTATCGTTGGTTGAGCTGGGCACACCTCCCTTCCCTAATGCTGTCTGTGATCACTACGAGCTGACAGGCAGCCTGCTGTGTGTGACCACCATATATGAATACAATGTAAGCAATGACAAAACGCAAACAGATGTTAATAAAACATGCCAATGACAGACTTACAAAACATGTCTTAGTTGTCTTTCATCTTTAATTTGTGCTTGTGTCTGGAGAGCAGGGGTTGCTCCCGACATGGGTGCAGTGTATATGAAGTCCTGATTGTCACTCACTTCAATAGGTTGTTTTGGGAACTGGTGGCCAAGTTGTCTAAGAGGTTCCATTTAATATCCCCGTTACGTGGTTTGTGGGGTATTAAAATGGAATCGATCCATCAAGATGTGGTTTCCGGAGCAGATGTTGAAAACCGTTCATCATTTCGTCACGAAACTATTTGAACTGGTACCTTTTGATAGTTTGGGGTTATTTTAAATAAACTAGTTATCGAGTTTCTATAGCAACAAGTTTAATCTATTTATTCACAGGTATTTACCATTGTGGGGATATCAGTTGGGCCCAGTTGAGTCGCCTAATGTGCAAGGATCTGATTGTTGTGGATCGATCACATAAACAGTTTTACAAGTTTCTTTCCTATCGAAAGTCTTGATGACCGCCTCACTAGATTGGTGAATTGAGCCGCCAGAATTGTGTGGTAGTGGGTTCGGATTCCCCACAATTATGGTTCTTGGTATTTTGGATCCATACACGAGTTAGGTTTCGTCAAAGTTGTAAACGTCTAAAACATTGATTTCCTCCCACATCAAGCCGGCAAGCTGTGATATGAATGACACACTGTTTCTGATTCAAACCAAACTCACTCTTGAAAGTGGCAGTTTACAAATATACTGCACTCACACCTGCTTGAACATATCCTTTATTTGAATGTTTTAGTACCAATGACGCTTGTGGTTGTCCAGCCTTTACAGGCTAAGGTCGATGTAAGGCGGTTGAAATTAAGAATTTGTGTCTCTGAAATACTGGGAACGGGTAGCAAAGTCGCATGAGGCGCCGCAATTTGCTGTTTCGATTTGCGCCCCTTGGGCACGCCAGAAAGCTTTGATTGTGGGTTTGAAACCCCCTTCGCGCCGATAATGTTCCCAGGTTATCAGCACCATAACCGTTCACATCTCACCGGCATTATTTCGGGCGTTCTCCCACATCAAGCTGATGCCGTGATTTAACCGGAATATTGTTCAAAGCGGCATTAAACCCAACACGCTTATCTGTGGAATACCACAAATATATTTATGCGTGGCATCTCGGGAGGGAGTCGAAATAACATTTGGTCGATTTTTGCTCTACCACAAGACCACAGAGGCGGTCTAACTATGATAGGATCATTTTAGCGATATAAAGATTTCTCTGTGGAACGGGACCCTTGACTTGGGCAGCGGACCACGGAGCATGTTACCACCTCAACAAGGTGACGGGGACATGCTTAAGTGTATTGACACCGAGCCGTATAAGTAGTTGTAATGTTCGCTAGTAGTTGTGTGCATGACTCTGGAACCGCTCCTGGCTTCTGATTGGTCGGTTTCTGTGATTACGTCACTACCGGTTTCGGCCCTGCGCAGGTCAAGTGACCTGATGACGTCATCAGAGGTCACGTGACCTGCGCAGGGCATTGTGGGTCATGCGTGACGCCACCATGACATCGCTTCCTGTTCCGATGGCGCACGCATCCAAGATGGCGGCACTTCCGGTTCCGGTTGCGCACGCATCCAAGATGGCGGCACGTCCGTTCTCAAAGTCAGCGATCTGACCCACACAAAACTGGAAGTGCGACAACTTGTAGTCTAGATCACATACTCTGTGTACCCCTCTGACAGGTGTTAATGGCATTGTGTATTTCTAGCTTTCGGCCATGGGAGCCGTGCCAATTTACCCTGGTCAGAGGGAGGCACAAAATATGTGATCAAGACTACCAGTTAACAGACTCCATTTTCGTGGAAGCCTCGGTGGCTGAGTGGGACTCATGTTGCATTCTTATAGTTTAATTTAAAGAGGGGACACGGGTGGCCAAGTCGTCTTAGGTGCCACGATTCGCTGTGCAGAGTTGAGTCCCTTGGGCACGCCAGAAACCTATGATTGTGGGTTCGAATTCCGGTTCACCCTAATTATGTTTCTAGGTTTGTTAGCACCATACCCGTGCTCGTGGGTTTCACCGAAGTGGTAAACGTCTGAGACCTGCATCACTTCGGGCTTTCCTCCGACATTAAACTGACATGCCGTGATATAAATGGAATACTGTTAAAAGCGGCGTTAAACCCAACTCACTCACTCACTCACTCACTCATTTATCATCTTTTAGTTGTAGAGAAAGTCTTGATGAAGACGGAGCATGTACTGGATGGGAAGACTATCAGAGTAAGGGAGCATTACAAGGAAACAAGGAGTCTAACTTATGACAAAACTGAGAGGACTGATAAATTGACGAAGGTTTTGGGTTTAGAGTTGGTAGAAGCAAGACTATTAATGGTTTTGAAATAACCTGAAAGCTGTGTTAAAAGTGGAAAGGATTTAGTGCCATCTGTGATGGTCAGAGCAGCATTGTATTTGAAGGTTCTAAGCGCGTCATTAAGTCTGCTGTGGAGGAGCTAAGTGATTTAAAAATGACCATATCTCATATCACATGCAGCATACAGTATTTCAAGTGTAATATACAGTATGCCACATGCAGTAATATACAGTGGTCCTCGAGCAGCGTGCGCTGGGCAGTAGCACACATTTCCTCCCCCTCTTCCCTCAAGCAAACCTCCCGTGGGGGAGTAACCAGATCACAGGTCAGGCGTGCACTGGTCAGCTGTTTCATTGGTGGCTAGTGAGGGGTAAGGGAGGCCGGCCATACATACTCTTGGGAGTTATGGGACTGCAACTTGATGAGTTATATGAGTCTTATAAGGCCAAGAGTAAGATCATCCGGATGACCACTGCACGAGAGGCATGTGGGTTGTGGACGAGATACTACGTAGCATAGCTGTATTACCTTATAAAGAATAGTATGAATGTTAGAACGAGTAATATGCAGCTAGACCGGCGCGAGCTGGCAGTTGAGATCTGGGAGCTGAACACGAAACAACTAGTAAAGCTCCCATGCACAATAAAACGTTGTGGACCCGCAGACGGAGTTGTGTTGTATAATGAAGAGTGAGTGAGTGAGTTTGGTTTTACGCCGCTTTTAGCAATATTCGAGCAATATCACGGCGGGGGACACCAGAAATAGGCTTCACACATTGTACCCATGTCGGGAATCGAACCCGGGTCTTCGGTGTGACGAGCTAACGCTTTAACCACTAGGCTACGACCGCCCCTGTATAATGAAGTGTCCCCTGGAACAACATACATTTTCTACGGCGGATAGTTATTCCGTCGCAATTTATGTTTAATTACATCCACGACTTTTGTTCGTTTGTTGTTTAACGCCGCACTCAGCAATATTCCAGCTATATGACGACGGTCTGTAAATAATCGAGTCTGGGCCAGACAATTAAGTGATTGATATCATGAGCATCGACCCACGCAATTGGGATACGATGACGTGCATCAACCAAGTCAACGAACCTTGACAACCCAATCCCGTTAGTCGCCTCTCACGACGAGCATAGTCTATTCTACTCCGGATCGTCTCCGGTCGGTTATCCGCCTCCATTATATTATTACATTTACCCTGGACCCATTCGCCACTGACGCTTTAATTCGAATGTGACGTCACCACTCTAGCTTTTTTATCACAAATTTAGCACAGCATTTACCTCGCAAATGAGTGTAATTGGATTGGACGGCTATTTTCAGCGTCATTTATTTATATTTCGGCATAAAACCAAGCTATAGTAGCGAATGGGTCAGGGTATTGATATAACAGAATTGAAATATAATACCCTGGATAATCGAGGATTATCTCTGGCGGAATCGTCATAATTCTAATCCACTAAACATAGGCCTGGTGGTGTATTCTTTCTGCAGTCGAGATTTGCAGGGTTTTTTATAAGTCCTAGATTTCATTAGCAAAATTACGAACCATTCATGGCAGACCGTACATTTCCTAAAACGCCATTGCACCCATCTTTGTCGTTAAATCAATGATTATATGCTTTACGCACCCTGCATTTACTAATGGTTAATCACGGCAGGGGCATCGGAAAAGGCTGAGGCGTTATATCCATGAAGCGGTTCTTAAGCTGGAGAATCGAACACTTGAACCACACGGCTACCCCACCGCGTCCCAGTTACTGTACGGTAGATCTTGTGAAGCTTCACGGTTTCGATATCTACTCGAGTGTTGGATTTGAGGCTTGAGACGATTATGTCGGTTATAGCAAGTCGTGGCTGCTTAGGCGGTGAGCAAATGTTGTAAGCATTCTGCTATATTCCAGCTCCACCGATACACTGGGTCAGGCAAGCCAGTGGTCGACAGCATGAGCAATAATCCACGCCATCTTGGCACGATGATGCACAAGATGCCAGGTCTAAAGCACCGGGAACCGAGAGGCTATTTCCTCCACGGGGGACTGCAGTTGAAATGTGAGATGAAAGCCAAGGTGGTATATCGAATACAAAGATCGATATCGGATGTGTAAGCATGCACAGTGAGAAGATACAACTGCATGTAGATTATGGAGCACTTCAAAAGTACGAAATCTAATAATTGATTAATTATGACCAAAAAGACTCATCATGTCAACATTTTCATAATTAAGTTTTTTGAGTGTTTTGGTTGTGTCTCAAAACTCAACGTTTGTTATCTACATTGATCATTTGAACAGACCCCTTAACCGCAGACACTCTATTGTTGGGGTCGGAGGAAAAGTACTTAGTATATTTGGATCGATGATAACTAAATACGGTAAAGGTGATTTGAAGGGTTCGAACGGAGGTTCCGCCCCTATCAAGTAGTTTTGGGTTGGCTAAAAGCGTCGGCAATCAACTTGGGTGGTGGTTTGACCCCAAAAATGCAAGCTTTTAAGAACTTGTTTTCCGAAACTGAAGAAGCATTTAAGTTCAAACCTTTATGTGGATTATCCCAAGTTTGTTCAAGTCTTCATTCAAAGTTTATTTTGGTTTCCATGTCCACATTGAAACGCTGTCCAAGCGTCCATTTATGTTTTTTTGTTTGTTTTTTGTTTAACGCCGCATTCAGCAATATTCCAGCTATATGACGGCGGTCTGTAAATAATCGAGTCACGACCAGACAATCATTTGATTGACATCATGAGCATCGATCAAGGCAATTGGGATACGATGACATGCATGAACCAAAAAGTCAGCGAATCTGTCCACCCGATTCCGTTAGTCGCCTCTAATTACGACAAGCATAGTCCAGTGCCGTAGCAGTCGCCTCGTTAGCATATAAACATATGCTACCAATATACATGTAATATAATACGAATATGTTATATTTGTAGAATAGATACCCTGCCCCTTAAGAAGTGTTTTGTACAATAAAATATATTGAATCTTGAATCTTACATGGTTAAAGGGGGATAACTCTGTTATGTTTGCAGCAATTGACTACTGTGAACACGAATGTTGCGAGGCAGGAAATTGTTCCGGACAGGATTATAGTGTTTGAAAAATATGAACTCTATTTGAATATATTGTTAATTCATTATGTATGCAGACATTCCACTCGAAACATAAGCTGCCATTTCTCTTCGAGGTTTGCAGAATCCACACATTCGTCACCACTCGCCTCTTTCCGTAAACGGAGACTTGTTCCGGAATAACACGAGTTAGTCACGAATGGATTGCACACATTCGTCACCACTCGCACCTTTCCGTAAATTGATCTCGGAATAACACGAGCGTCACGTATTATTCCTACTTTCGCTTTCGATTTGGCGGGTCACGTGAAATTGTATGTTATCAAAAGTGAAAATAAGATTCCGAGAGTGGGCCAAACCCAGAGAGACAGATATCGAATTGTGTTATGCGACATTTGTCAAGAATATTTTGGACCTATGTGGTAAGTGTAATGGCATACAGATTGTCCCGTATGTTTAACTGAATGTACATAGCAGTAATTTAATCTAGGTCTTCCAATGTGAAGTATTATATATATCTTACGTTGACCAGCAATGCGGATATAACTAGGTCAACATATTTCTTCGCCATTGTTGTAACAGGTAGTGATATCTAATTCGTGATTGTTTCGGTATATTATATCACTAACTCAAATTTAGTCGTGATAGATCATTTTAAATGATTTAAATCTGAACTTACAGTGTAAGTGAACTAATGCCATTGTGGGTGGCTCAGATGTAACGTGCTGCAATATTTACTTCGCAGTTACGTCCATTTGGTGTGGCGGGATCTGCTGCTTGTGTTCAAGTCCCAGATTTGTCCTGATCATGATTCTTACTTTCTCAACATCATACTTGTGGTGTTATCTTTCACCAAAGTGGTGTAAGCCTCAACCACCTGCGTCACTTTGGATTTTCATCCCACAAAAAGCAAAAACTGAAAAATCTGAAATACGTACCGTTCAAAGTGATATTAATGCAAAGTCCCAATCTCGAAATATATTTACACAGTTCCCATATTGTAATTATTAAAATGTCAGTTTGAACTATTATGAGGACAGTCTGTAGTTGAATGTGTGTATAAGTGTTCAGCTGTTCAGAGGATAATTTTGACGGAATCAGTCGTATGGGCGGTAACTGTCGTTTGGAATACCCAATGTTAAGGTTATTCCCACTGTCACTATCAGGATCTGATAAGCGAAGCTTTGATTGGTCGGATGAAAGGTCGTTCTGACATGACCCGCAATAGGATGTCCTCAGATCTTTGTTTAGCAATAGGAGAACTAAGATGTGATTTTAATGAGATTGCTGGGGACCTATTATAGTCTTACATGGAATCCCCACTGGTAGAAAAGGATAGATTGCTGGGGACCTATAGTCTTACCTGGAATCTCCACTGGTAGAAAAGGATAGATTGCTGGGGACCTATAGTCTTAACTGGAATCTCCACTGGTAGAAAAGGATAGATTGCTGGGGACCTTTAGTCTTACCTGGAATCTCCACTGGTAGAAATGGATAGATTGCTGGGGACCTATAGTCTTACCTGGAATCTCCACTGGTAGAAAAGGATAGATTGCTGGGGACCTATATTCTTACCTGGAATCTCCACTGGTAGAAAAGCATAGATTGCTGGGGACCTATAGTCTTACCTGGAATCTCCACTGGTAGAAAAGCATAGATTACTGGGGACCTATATTCTTACCTGGAATCTCCACTGGTAGAAAAGCATAGATTGCTGGGGACCTATAGTCTTACCTGGAATCCCCTCTGCTAGAAAAGCATGCATTGCTTTGGACCTATATTCTTACCTGGAATCCCCACTCCTAGAAAAGCATAAATTGCCGGGGACCTATATTCTTACCTGGAATCTCCACTGGTAGAAAAGCATAAATTGCTGGGGACCTATATTCTTACCTGGAATCTCCACTGGTAGAAAAGGATAGATTGCTTGGGACCTATATTCTTACCTGGAATCCCCATTCCTAGAAAAGCATAAATTGCTGGGGACCTATATTCTTACCTGGAATCTCCACTGGTAAAAAAGCATAGATTGCTGGGGACCTATATTCTTACCTGGAATCTCCACTGGTAGAAAAGCATAGATTGCTGGGGCCTACTATTCTTACCTGGAATCTCCACTGGTAGAAAAGCATAGATTGCTTGGGACCTATATTCTTACCTGGAATCCCCACTGGTAGAAAAGCATAGATTGCTGGGGACCTATATTCTTACCTGGAATCCCCTCTGCTAGAAAAGCATGCATTGCTTGGGACCTATATTCTTACCTGGAATCCCCACTCCTAGAAAAGCATAGGTTGCTTGGGACCTATATTCTTACCTGGAATCTCCACTGGTAGAAAAGCACAGATTGCTGGGGACCTATATTCTTACCTGGAATCTCCACTGGTAGAAAAGCATAGATTGCTGGGGACCTATATTCTTACCTGGAATCTCCACTGGTAGAAAAGCACAGATTGCTGGGGACCTATATTCTTACCTGGAATCTCCACTGGTAGAAAAGCATAGATTGCTGGGGACCTATAGTCTTACCTGGAATCCCCTCTGCTAGAAAAGCATGCATTGCTTGGGACCTATATTCTTACCTGGAATCCCCACTCCTAGAAAAGCATAAATTGCTGGGGACCTATATTCTTACCTGGAATCTCCACTGGTAGAAAAGCATAGATTGCTGGGGACCTATAGTCTTACATGGAATCCCCTCTGCTAGAAAAGCACAGATTGGTGGGGACCTATATTCTTACCTGGAATCTCCACTGGTAGAAAAGGATAGATTGCTGGGGACCTATATTCTTACCTGGAATCTCCACTGGTAGAAAAGCACAGATTGCTGGGGACCTATATTCTTACCTGGAATCTCCACTGGTAGAAAAGCACAGATTGCTGGGGACCTATATTCTTACCTGGAATCTCCACTGGTAGAAAAGGATAGATTGCTGGGGACCTATATTCTTACCTGGAATCCCCACTGGTAGAAAAGCACAGATTGCTGGGGACCTATATTCTTACCTGGAATCTCCACTGGTAGAAAAGCATAGATTGCTGGGGACCTATAGTCTTACCTGGAATCCCCTCTGCTAGAAAAGCATGCATTGCTTGGGACCTATATTCTTACCTGGAATCCCCACTCCTAGAAAAGCATAAATTGCTGGGGACCTATATTCTTACCTGGAATCTCCACTGGTAGAAAAGCATAGATTGCTGGGGACCTATAGTCTTACCTGGAATCCCCTCTGCTAGAAAAGCACAGATTGGTGGGGACCTATATTCTTACCTGGAATCTCCACTGGTAGAAAAGGATAGATTGGTGGGGACCTATATTCTTACCTGGAATCTCCACTGGTAGAAAAGCACAGATTGCTGGGGACCTATATTCTTACCTGGAATCTCCACTGGTAGAAAAGCATAGATTGCTGGGGACCTATAGTCTTACCTGGAATCTCCACTGGTAGAAAAGCACAGATTGCTGGGGACCTATATTCTTACCTGGAATCTCCACTGGTAGAAAAGGATAGATTGCTGGGGACCTATATTCTTACCTGGAATCCCCACTGGTAGAAAAGCACAGATTGCTGGGGACCTATATTCTTACCTGGAATCTCCACTGGTAGAAAAGCATAGATTGCTGGGGACCTATAGTCTTACCTGGAATCCCCTCTGCTAGAAAAGCATCCATTGCTTGGGACCTATATTCTTACCTGGAATCCCCACTCCTAGAAAAGCATAAATTGCTGGGGACCTATATTCTTACCTGGAATCTCCACTGGTAGAAAAGCATAGATTGCTGGGGACCTATAGTCTTACCTGGAATCCCCTCTGCTAGAAAAGCATGCATTGCTTGGGACCTATATTCTTACCTGGAATCCCCACTCCTAGAAAAGCATAAATTGCTGGGGACCTATATTCTTACCTGGAATCTCCACTGGTAGAAAAGCATAGATTGCTGGGGACCTATAGTCTTACCTGGAATCCCCTCTGCTAGAAAAGCACAGATTGGTGGGGACCTATATTCTTACCTGGAATCTCCACTGGTAGAAAAGGATAGATTGGTGGGGACCTATATTCTTACCTGGAATCTCCACTGGTAGAAAAGCACAGATTGCTGGGGACCTATATTCTTACCTGGAATCTCCACTGGTAGAAAAGCATAGATTGCTGGGGACCTATAGTCTTACCTGGAATCCCCTCTGCTAGAAAAGCATGCATTGCTTGGGACCTATATTCTTACCTGGAATCCCCACTCCTAGAAAAGCATAAATTGCTGGGGACCTATATTCTTACCTGGAATCTCCACTGGTAGAAAAGCATAGATTGCTGGGGACCTATAGTCTTACCTGGAATCCCCTCTGCTAGAAAAGCATGCATTGCTTGGGACCTATATTCTTACCTGGAATCCCCACTCCTAGAAAAGCATAAATTGCCGGGGACCTATATTCTTACCTGGAATCTCCACTGGTAGAAAAGCATAAATTGCTGGGGACCTATATTCTTACCTGGAATCTCCACTGGTAGAAAAGCATAGATTGCTGGGGACCTATAGTCTTACCTGGAATCCCCTCTGCTAGAAAAGCACAGATTGGTGGGGACCTATATTCTTACCTGGAATCTCCACTGGTAGAAAAGGATAGATTGGTGGGGACCTATATTCTTACCTGGAATCTCCACTGGTAGAAAAGCACAGATTGCTGGGGACCTATATTCTTACCTGGAATCTCCACTGGTAGAAAAGGATAGATTGCTGGGGACCTATATTCTTACCTGGAATCCCCACTGGTAGAAAAGCACAGATTGCTGGGGACCTATATTCTTACCTGGAATCTCCACTGGTAGAAAAGCATAGATTGCTGGGGACCTATAGTCTTACCTGGAATCCCCTCTGCTAGAAAAGCATGCATTGCTTGGGACCTATATTCTTACCTGGAATCCCCACTCCTAGAAAAGCATAAATTGCTGGGGACCTATATTCTTACCTGGAATCTCCACTGGTAGAAAAGCATAGATTGCTGGGGACCTATAGTCTTACCTGGAATCCCCTCTGCTAGAAAAGCATGCATTGCTTGGGACCTATATTCTTACCTGGAATCCCCACTCCTAGAAAAGCATAAATTGCTGGGGACCTATATTCTTACCTGGAATCTCCACTGGTAGAAAAGCATAGATTGCTGGGGACCTATAGTCTTACCTGGAATCCCCTCTGCTAGAAAAGCATGCATTGCTTGGGACCTATATTCTTACCTGGAATCCCCACTCCTAGAAAAGCATAAATTGCTGGGGACCTATATTCTTACCTGGAATCTCCACTGGTAGAAAAGCATAAATTGCTGGGGACCTATATTCTTACCTGGAATCTCCACTGGTAGAAAAGCACAGATTGGTGGGGACCTATATTCTTACCTGGAATCTCCACTGGTAGAAAAGCATAGAT